ACTATGGCCCCCTTCATGACTGGTGGACTTCAACTCCCAGAATTCCTCAGCCAGCATGGGGGAAACTATGGCCCCTTTATGACTGGTGGACTTCAACTCCCAGAATTCCTCAGCCAGCATGGGGGAACTATGGGCCCCTTCATGACTGGTGGACTTCAACTCCCAGAATTCCTCAGCCAGCATGGGGGAACTATGGCTCCCTTCATGACTCGTGGACTTCAATTCCCAGAATTCCTGAGCCAGCGTGGGGGAACTAAGGCCCCCTTCATGACTTGTGGACTTCAACTCCCAGAATGCCTGAGCCAGCATGGGGGAACTAAGGCCCCCTTCATGACTCCTGGACTTACACTCCCAGAATTCCTGAGCCAGCATGGGGGAACTAAGGCCCCCTTCATGACTCCTGGACTTCAACTCCCAGAATTCCTGAGCCAGCATGGGGAAACTATGGCCCCTTCATGACTCCTGGACTTCAACTCCCAGAATTCCTCAGCCAGCCATGCTGAGGGGAAAGGGAGAGGCTTCCATGCTGAGCCAGGCTGGCTCAGGAATTCTGGGAGTTGAAGTCCATCAGTCATGAAGGGGGCAAGGTTGCCTACCCCTGTGGCTTAGGCAATCAAACGCTTACACAGGTAGTCCTCGACATACAACCACCATTTAAGTGAGATGTTTGTAAAGTGACCTGTGCCCCGTTTTACGACCTTTCCGGCCACAGTGGTTCAAGCGAGTCACTGGAGTTGTTAAGTTAGTGACACAGTTGTTAAGTGGAACTGGCTTCCCCCACTGACTTTGCTTGTCGGAAGGTCGCGCTAAGCTTGACCCCTGTAGCACAAATCATGAGCGGGGGGGGGGGCTCTGGCTGTCAGCCCCTCCTGGAAGGTAGCCGGCCAGGGGGGAAAGGGGGTCTCCTTGGACCTTCCCCAGGTGGGGCTGGCTAATCCAAAAAGGGGGCAGGGCAATGCGTCTCCCGGAGTGGAAGGAGAGAGATGGGGGGGGGGTTTCTTCTGGAAGAGTCCAAAGAGAGGGATTTGAACTCGGGGCGTGGCTGGGAGGGGCTCACCTGTTTTCTCCCCCAATGATCACCACGTGGGGTTTCTTCCCCAGCAGGAACTTCTTCAGGGTCTCAGTATCCTGAGCCTACCTCGGAGAAAAGGGGAGGAAAAAAACAAAACAAACCAGGTTACGGTAAAAGGGGAGGGGAGGCCAGCCCCCCCCCCCCAGGTCTTGCCACCCTCCCAAGCCGGACACTTGGCAGAAAAGAAAGGAACAGAGACCCACAAAGGAGCCCAAACTTTCTGTTGCTCAGCGAGGGAGTCAAGTCAGTTTCGCTCCATTTTATGACCATGTCTGCCCCAGCCATTAACGGAATCACTGCAGTGGTTCACATTAGTACCACGGTTAAGTGCACGTGGCTTCCCTTTCGAGTTGGCTTGCCAGACGGTCGCAAAAGGGGACCCCGGGACCGTCGTAAGTATGAGTCAGTTTCCGAGGGTCCGAATTTTGTTCCCGCGACCCTGGGGAGGCTGCAACGGTCGTTAAGCGTGCAAAATGGTCGTAAAGTGCTATTGTAACTGGAAACGGCCGCTAAACCAATGGCTGTAAGTGGAGGATTCTCTGTAAAACAGGGGTCTTCCAACTTGGCCCTTTGATGACTGGTGGATTTCAACTCCCAGAATTCCTCAGCCAGGCACTTGCCTGGCTGAGGAATTCTGGGAGTTGAAGTTCACCAGTCATCAAAGGGCCAAGTTGGAAGACCCCTGTTTGTGGACTTCAACTCCCAGAATTCCCCAGTCAGCATACTGAGTTGAAGTCCATTTATCTTAAATAATACTGGCTAGGGAATTCTGGGAGCGGAAGTCCACCCCTCTTAAAACAGGGTGGCTAGGGGATGCTGGGAGCGGATGTCCACCCTTCTTAAAGCATGCTGGCTGGGGGATGCTGGGAGTTGAAGTCCACTCCTCTTCAAGCATGCCTGGGTGGTGTATTCTGGGAGTGGAAGCCCACCCCTCTTAAAGAATGCAGGATGGGGTATTCTGGGAGTTGAAGCCCACCCCTCTTAAAGCAGGCTGGCTGGAGAATTCTGGGAGAGGAAGCCCTCCCCTCTTAAAGCAGGCTGGCTGGAGAATTCTGGGAGTTGAAACCCTCCCCTCTTAAAGTGGCCAGGTCTGGCTCCCTCTGTTCTAAAACGAAGCCCCTGACCGGACCCAGGCAGCCCCACTCCCTTCCTGGTGGCACCCGGCGAGGGTGGTCCTGGGAGTCAGCCGAGCCCCCTCCCCAGCTCACCTTCTTCTCCCTCTCTTCCTCCCGCCAGGCGTTCCTCCGCTTGGTGAAGTGGGGCAGGCGCAGGAAATCCGTGACCTCTCCGTCCCCGTTGAGCAGGGCACAAAAGACCGGGTGGTTCCTGCAAGAGGGGCAGCCATCTCAGCCTGGGGCAGAGCCGGAGGGGGCAGCGCTGAACCCGGGTCTCTATCCCGCCCTCCCCTCCCCACGATACCTGGCCGAGGAGAAGGCGATGCCCAGCACCCGGATGCCCTTCCCTTGGCTCTCGTCCAGGAAGTCCTCCTCTTCCTCCACTTGCTGGTCCGGGCGATAAGAGGCCACCTTCAGCCAGTTGTACAGCTTCCGGCTGCAGGCCTGCCCGGAGAAATGGGGGTGGGGGGTGGGTTAGTGAGGGGACTGTATTTATTCTTTTAAAAATAAAGTCCTTGACCACAACCAAGCCCCCAATTTTTAAGCGAGAGAGAGGTTACATGAGTTCCGTTCCGTTTTACGACCTTTCTCCCCACGGTTGCTAAATGAATCGCTGCGGTTGTTAATTGAGTCACACGGTCGTTAAGCGAATCTGGCTTCCCCACTGATTGATGCTTGTCGGGAGGTCACCAAAAGGGGTCACCAGACCCCGGACGCTGCGACCGTTGTAAATATAGACCCCTTGCAAGCTTCTGGCCAGCAGGCTCAATGGGGGAAGCCGGATTCCCGGAACCGCCGTGCTCCTAACTTAATCACTGCAGGGATTCGCTTACGGACTATAATAATAATAATAATAATAATAATAATAATAATAATAGTAGTAGTAGTAGTAGTAGTAGTAGTAGTAGTAGTAGTAGTAGTAAAGTTGGAAGGGACCTCGGATGTCATCTAGTCCAACCCCCTGCTCAGGCAGGAAACCCTATACCATTTCGGACAAATGGCTGTCCAGTCTCTTCTTAAAAACTTCCAGTGTTGGAGCATTCACCGCTTCTGGAGGCAGGTTGTTCCACTGGTTAATTGTTCTAACTGTCAGGAAATTTATCCTTAGTTCCAGGTTGCTTCTCTCCTTGATGAGTTTCCACCCGTTGCTTCTTGTCCTGCCTTCAGGGGCTTTGGAGAATAGCTTGACTCCCTCTTCTTTGGGGCAGCCCCTGAGATACTGGAACGCTGCTATCATGTCCCCCCCCCCTCGTCCTTCTCTTCGTTAAACTAGACAGACCCAATTCCAGCAACCGTTCCTTATATGCTTTGGCCTCCAGTCCCCTGATCCTCTTTGTTGCTCTTCTCTGCACTCTTTCTAGAGTCTCAACATCTTTTTTACATTGTGGTGACCAAAACTGGATGCCGTATTCCAAGTGTGGCCTTACCAAGGCTTTATAAAGTAGTATTAAAACTTCACATGATCTTGATTCTCTCCCTCTGTTAATGCAGCCTAGCACTGTGTTGGCCTTTTTGGCAGCTGCTGCACACGGCTGGCTCCTATCTAGGTGATTGTCCACTAGGACTCCGAGGTCCCTCTCACAGTTACTACTATTGAGCAAGGTACCCCCTATACTATACCTGTGCCGAGGAAGGCTGTAAAACGGGGCAAAAGTCACTTAACAAATGTCTCGCCCAGCGACAGAAATTTTGGGCTGAACTGTCGAGATAATCAGCTTGCATAAAATCCACAGGCGCAGGTTGACTTACGGCCACATTTTAGCCCAGCGCTTCCGTCGCCAAGTGAGACGCTTGTCAAGGGAGTTTTGTCCCATTTTGCAATCTTTCTTGACACTGTTCTTACGTGGGTTGCTGCGAATGTTAAGGCTGTTAAGCGAATCCGGATTCCCCACTGATTTATGCTTGTCAGGAGGTCCCCAAAAGGGGATGGTGTGACCCCCGGGATGCAGCAGCCATCATAAATAGAAGCGAGCTGCCAAGGGTCTGAATTCTGATCACGGGGAGGCTGCAGTGGGACGTGTGAAAAATGGTCACTAGTCACTTCTTCCCAGTGCTGTTGTAACTTTGAACGGTCACTAAGTTAAACCGCTGTAAAAGAAACCAGCATGGCTGCATAAAGACCTCTCTGATAAATTGAAAGATAAAAAGGGCAAGTATAGAAAGTGGAAAGAGGGGCACATAACTAAGTCAGAATATCAGCAAATAGCCCGAGCCTGCAAAGATGAAGTGAGGAAAGCCAAGGCTCAAAATGAACTAAGGCTTGCGACCAAGGTCAAAAATAACAAAAAAAGCTTCTTTCAACATGTAAAAAACGATTAATCCATTAGTGGGGGAAAGTGGCAAGAAGGTGACAAGCAACAGGGAGAAAGCAGAATTATTTAACTCGTATTTTGCATCTGTCTTTACACAAAGGGAAAAAAACAGACCAACCTATCAAAAACAGTGCCGTAAAAAACAGAATAGAAACACAAGTTAAGATAAGCAAGAAAATGATAAGTGAGCACATGTCCAGCCTAGACGAGTTCAAATCCCCAGGACCAGATGGATTACACCCCAAGGTTCTCAAGGAACTAGCAGATGTGATCTCAGAACCCCTGAACTATATTTTTCAAAGATCCTTCAAAGATTATTATTATTATTATTAGTATTATTATTATTATTATTATTATTATTATTATTATTAAGTCAAGGAGAAGAGACTGGACAGCCATTTGTCCGAAATGGTATAGGGTTTCCTGCCTGAGCAGGGGGTTAGACTAAATGACCTCCAAGGTCCCTTCTGACTTTATAATAATAATAATAATAATAATAATTTAATTTATATACCGCCCTTCTCCCGCAGGACTCAGGGCGGTGCACAGCATATTAAAAACAAATACAAATACAAATACAGAATACAAAAATATAAACCCATATAAAACCAAATTAAAAGCCAAATATTAGAAGCTGTTATTTATTAACAACCCACCTCCAGAAGTGGTGAATGCTCCAACACTGGAAGTTTTTAAGAAGAGACTGGACAGCCATCTGTCCGAAATGGTCTAGGGCAGGGGTAGTCAACCTTGGCTCTTTTATGACTCGTGGACTTCAACTCCCAGAATTCCTGAGCCAGCACAGCTGGCTCAGGAATTCTGGGAGTTGAAGTCCACGAGTCATAAAAGAGCCAAGGTTGACTATCCCTGGTCTAGGGTTTCCTGCCTGAGCAGGGGGTTGGACTAGATGACCTCCAAGGTCCCTTCCAACTTTATTATTATTATTATAAGGGCCCCCTGTGTCCACTGCATCCCACCCAGGCCAAGCCCCCCCCCCGCCCGCTCCCCAGGCCCTGCCCCCACCTTCATGACGCACTCCTTGGCCTCCAGCAGCAGCCTGTTCATCAGCTCCTTGGCCATCTGCGGGTAGAGGAAGTGGCGCAGGGCCCGCTCGATGGCCAGGGTGCGCTGGCGGTTCCACTCCTGCACCTGGTGGCTGAACTCGTCGCGGTAGTAGAAGGCCTTGATCTCCTCAAAGTAGGTCTGGTCACTGCCGTAGCTGGAAGGGAGGGGGCGGGCAAGGTCAGGCCGAGGGAGGGTCAGGCCCGGTGGGGGCAGGAGGAGGAGGAGGGCGACGCGGCTGGAGGACTCACCCCTCCACGCCCTTCATGTCCACGGAGATGTCGATGGTCAGTAGGCTCTCCTCTTTGGCCAGGAAGATCTTCAGGAACTGCTCATCTCGCAGCTCTTTAACCGGCTTGTTCTTCAGGTACTTGAAGGAGTAGGCGTAATGGGCCTCGTCCACGTCCTGCAGAGAGAGAGAGAGAGGGAAGGCCTTGCAGCTCTCTCCCAGGCCCGGGCAGCGGCGGGGCTCTATAACCCAACAGCTGTGGGTCCCAGATGCAGAAGGGCCCCAAAGCACCTCCAAGCCAGCAACAAGGGCCCTGGTCAGGGGCAGCCACCAAACAGGCCACAGGTAACGGCTCGTATATAATTTAGATAGAGGGAAGCATCCCTGCTTCGGACAGGAAGTGGTGAGGACAGCAGAAAAGACGATGGGCGGTTCGCTCCCTTCCATCCAGGACGTGGCATCTAAGCGGGGCTTGAGCGGGGCCGGCAGGATTGTCTGGGGCGCTACACACCCTCTTCACAACCTGTTTTCCTTGTTACCTTCGGGGGCCGGGCAGGATGGGGGGCTTTGTGGTATCCGAAGCAGAACATCCGGATTCAGTCACATTTTTGTTCCGTACAGTATTAACCTTGTTGAACTCTCAGGCTTCCTCCTTCCGTTATGTATTCAAGATGGACAGTGATTAATATTTATATGTTGCTCATACGTAAGGGTGTAGGTCTATACTTCTGTTGTATATAGTGTGTTTAAATGCGTGTTATGTATGTGTACACTTTGAGAGCAAGCCACTCAATTTCATTTTGAATGTGTGCCGTTGTGCCCACAGTAAAAAATGTCAATAAAGGTTTATCTCTCTTTTTCTCTACCTTTCTCTCTATTATCTATCTATCTATCTATCTATCTATCTATCTATCTATCTATCTATCTATCTATCTATCTATCTATCTATCTATCTATCTACCTACCTACCTACCTACCTACCTACCTATCATTATCTATCTATCTATCTATCTATCTCTATCATCTATCATTTATCATCTATCTATCTATCTATCTATCTATCTATCTATCTATCATCTATCTATCTATCTATCTATCTATCTATCTGCCTTTATATCTGCTTATCTATCTATCTATCTATCTATCTATCTATCTATCTATCTATCTATCTATCTATCTATCTATCTATCTATCTATCTATCTATCTTTCTATGTCTGTCTGTGTCTGCTTATCTATCTATCTATCTACCTACCTACCTATCATTATCTATCTACCTCTCTCTCTATCATCTATCATTTATCATTTATCATCTATCTATCTATCTATCTATCTATCTATCTATCTATCTATCTATCTATCTGCCTTTATATCTGCTTATCTATCTATCTATCTATCTATCTATCTATCTATCTGTCTGTCTGTCTGTCTGTCTGTCTGTCTGTCTGTCTGTCTGTCTGTCTGTCTGCTTATCTATCTATCTTTCTTTCTTTCTTTTTCTTTCTATCTATCTATCTATCTATCTATCTATCTATCTATATCTGTCTGTCTATATCTATCTATCTATCTATCTATCTATCTATCTATCTATCTATCTATCTATCTATCTATCTATCTATATCTGTCTGTCTATATCTATCTATCTATCTATCTATCTATCTATCTATCTATCTATCTCTGTCTATATCTATCTATTTATCTATATCTATTTCTATTATCTATCTATCTATCTATCTATCTATCTATCTATCTATCTATCTATCTTTCTATGTCTGTCTGTCTGTCTGCTTATCTATCTATCTATCTATCTATCTATCTATCTATCTATCTATCTATCTATCTATCTATCTATCTCCCTCCCTCCCATCTATCTATCTATCTATCTATCTATCTATCTATCTATCTATCTATCTATCTATCTACCTACCTACCTACCTACCTACCTATCATTATCTATCTATCTACCTCTCTCTCTATCATCTATCATTTATCATCTATCTATCTATCTATCTATCTATCTATCTATCTATCTATCTATCTATCTATCTATCTATCTTTCTATGTCTGTCTGTCTGTCTGCTTATCTATCTATCTATCTATCTATCTATCTATCTATCTATCTATCTATCTATCTATCTATTATCTCTCTCTCTCTCTCTATCTATATCTATTATCTATTTCTCTATTATCTATCTATCTATCTATCTATCTATCTATCTATCTATCTATCTATCTATCTATCTATCTATCTATCTATCTATCTATCTATCTATTATCTATCTATTATCTATCTATCTATCTATCTATCTATCTATCTATCTATCTATCTATCTATCTATCTATCTATCTATCTATCATCACCTATCATATTTATTATCATCAGCCTCTCTCTCTCTCTCTCTCTCTCTCTCTCTCTCTCTCTCTGAACAAACCGCTGCCAAAATAATTTAAATGTAGTCACCATTCTGCCTTTTTAAAATTACAGGGACTCCTTGACTTACAACCGTTCATATACTGACCGTTCAAAGTCGCAACGGCAATGAAAAAAAGTGGCTGACGGCCCCTGCAGCATTCCCCCCTGGTCACGTGATCAAAATTCAAAGGGTTGGCAATTGACTCCCACGGATGATGATTGCTGTGCCTCCCGGGTGGGGGTGGGGGGTCACGCGATTTCCTTTTCTGACCGTCTGACAAGCAAAGCCAACGGGAGAAGCCAGATTCACTTAACAACCGTGCTATTAACTTAACAAGCTCGACGATTCAGCTGCGGCAAGAAAGGTTGTAAAATGGGGCGAAACCCACATTTCACAAATTAGCAGCGGGAATTTTGTGGCCTCGATTCACGACCACTAAGGGAGGCCGAAACTGACGTTGCTAAAGGAGACGTTGGCTCGGTGAGTTTTTGCCCCGTTTTACGTCTTCTATTGATTGCCACGGTTGTTACGTGAATCGCTGCAGTTGTTAAATCAGTATCCTGGTTATTAAGTGAACCTGGCTTCTTCCCCCGTTGACTTTGCCAGCCAGAAGGTGGCCAGAGAGGAATCGCGTGACCCCAGGGGACGCTGCGACCGTCGTAAACACGAGCAAGCTGCCCAGGGCCCTGAGTGCTGACCACGTGACCCTCGGGGAGCTGCGACCGCCGTAAATGTTAAAAACGGCCGTAAGTCATTTTTGTTGTAACTTTGAACGGCCACTAAAAGAACTGCCGTAAGTTGAGGATGGCCTGTATTCTGCACGCCAGTAGCTTCCTTGGTCTCCATGTTCTAGATTCCTGTTTCCTGCCTCTCCAAATCAAGATCAAACCCTGTGCTGGCTTGGAGGGGGGGGGCTTTGGGGAGGCTCCCCCAGGAGGGAAGCAGGCCAAAGGGCCCCAGCGCTGACCCCCCCCAGCTGTACCTTCTTGCCCTTCTTGGTGGGGGCAACGTTGATCTTGGCCCGCTCCTGGAAAGTCTGCCGCAGCACCTGACGGACCAGGGGCTCCCGGGCGATCTGCAGGGCCACCATGTAGCAGGCCCCTTCCAGCACGGCCTCGGGGCTGGGGAACTGGCTGCAAACATCAGTGGCAAAGGGAGGGGGGGGTGTGAGTACGTGCCACGGGACCCTCCGCGGTAAGCCCCCTCCTCATTTGTTTATTTACAATCTACTCTTCTGCTCCCCGACCACTGAAAGGAGCTTCGCTGCCGCAGGGGAAAAATAGACAGGACGAAGAGCGTGAATTATTAACCCAAAGGGCGTCCAGCTTTCCTATTGAAAAAGGCAGCTGGCAAGAGCAAATGCAAAATTAATTAGATCAGCGTTTCTCAATCCTGAGAACTTTAAGAGGGGTGGGCTTCAACTCCCAGAATTCCCCAGCCAGCAAACGGAGAGAGGGAGGGAGGAAGGTAGAAGGGAAGGAAGGAAGGAAGGAAGGAAGGAAAGAAGGAGAGGGAGGGAGGAAAGGAGAGGGAGGGAGGGAGGAGAGGAAGGAAGGAAAGAAGGAGAGGGAGGGAGGGAGGGAGAGGAAGGAAGGAGAGGGAAGGAGGGAGGGAGGAAGAGTAATGGATGGAAACTAATCAAGGAGAGAAGCAACCTAGAACTAAGGAAGGAAGGAAGGAAGGAAGGAAAGGAGGGCAAAAGGAGAAATACTAATATGTAGAAGATACATATAAATTGATTGCTAACTGCTAATTGGGGATAAGGAGGAGGAAAAGGAAAAGGAGGAAGGAAGGAAGGAAGGATGAAGAGGAAGGAAAAAAGAGAAAGAAAAGCAGGAGGAGTAGGAGATTCCTAGAAGACGGAACCCTCCAGCCAATTGCCAATTGAAGCCCACCCCTCTTGAAGTTCCTGCGATTTGAGAAACCGAATTTGAGAAGAGCCACCATCCAATCTGGAATAGCCCTCAGACATTGCCATAAACTGGAAGGAAAAAAACCAGGCCCAGAGGACGGGGGTTTGCTTTCAGGAAAGGGGGTCCGGTCCCAGGTGCAAAGGAAACTGTGTCCACCCTTCCCAGCCACCCAGCCGAAGCGCTCAGGCCCGGCCCGAGGCCCTCACCCCCGTGGGGAAGGATTCAAACCCAAGGCCCCAGAAACCCACCCCAGAACTCCACAAAGCTCCGTAAAGCGGGGCAGAGAAGGGCAGAGCCTTGGTGGGCAGAGGAGGAGAGGGAGCCCCCCTGCCCCACAGCCCTGTGGGAGGAGGGCCCCTCCCTCACCTGCAGACGTAGTCCTTGGCCAGCTCCAGGGGCTCTGCAGGGAACTGCTCGGTCTCGTGGCGCTGGTAGCTGTCCCGGAGGTTCTCCCCAAACTGCTCGGGGGTCAGCCCAAACTTCTTGGCCAGCCCGTCTGGAGGAGAGGCACAAACACAACACACACACACACACACCCGGCGTCCATAAATACACAAAGGACACAGGAGTTCACTGCGCAAACGGCGGGAGGCATCGCAACCCTGTGCAGGTGCACCGACGCTGAGGGAGACGCCGATCTACACACTTCTATGCTCGGCCGAAGCATGCTCTACTACAGGCAGTCCTCGACTTACGACCACAGGGGAGCCCGACCTTTCTGCCGCTAAGCGAGGCAGTTCTTAAGGGAATTCTGCCCCGTTTTACGACTTTTCCGGCCACCGCTGTGCAGGGAATCGCTGCGGCTATTAAATTAGCAACCTGGTTGTCGAGTGAAATCTGGCTTCCCCACTGACTTTCCTAAGGTCACAAAAGGATCACATGACACACACACACACCAGGACACTTAGGCAACCGTCCTAAGGACCTGCCAGTTGCCCAGCATCTGAATTTTGATCCTGTGACCACAGGGATGGTGCAAAGGTGTGAAAAAGGGTCGGAAGTCACTTTTTTCAGTGTTGTTGTAACTTTGACTGGTCGCTAAGCAAACAGTTGTATGTTGGGGCCTGTATGGACTGACCTCCCTTGACCCCCAGATGGAGAGTGCCTGCTGACTCCGCCCACTTCCCATCAATGCCTTGCAGGACTCTGGGAGGGGGGGAGAGAGGAGGGATGCCCGGGAGCCGGGGGGGGGGGGTGTCCCCTTACCTAGACCGGCCGCTTGGCAGATGGTGTACATGTCCCGGCGGGAGGCCTGCTTGAGCTCCGGCCCCTTCTGCTCTTCGTCCTCTCCATCCTCTCCCTCGCCTGGAAGGAGAAACAGGCCGGTCACATTCCAGCTGGGCAATGCCAAGAACGTAAGGGGCCCTTCAGGCATGGAACACAGCAGCGCTCTATNCTTCCAGCACTGATGTCATCCCCTAGTTGGGTCATGAAACGTCTGCAAGAAAGCCACCCAGCTCAGAGAGCACCAAGGACCCCACAATTCTCCTCCTCCTTCTCTTCCACCCCCTCCTCTCTGCAACCCCCCCTGCCTCTAGCACTGATGATATTCCCTAGTTTGGTAATGAAACGTCTGCAAGAAAGCCACCCAGCTCAGAGAGCACCAAAGACTCTACAGTTCTCCCCCTCCTCTCTCCTTCTTCCTCTTCCCCTTCCTCCTCCTCCTCCTCTCTGCAAACCCCCCTCCCTCTAGCACTGATGATGTTCCCTAGTTGGGTCGTGAAACGTCTGCAAGGAAGCCACCCAGCTCAGAGAGCACCAAAGACCCTACAGTAGTCCTCCTCCTCCTCCTCTCCATTACTCCCCCTCGCTTCTAGCCTTGATGACGTTCCCTAGTTGGGTCGTGAAATGTCTGCAAGAAAGCCACCCAGCTCAGAGGGCACCCAGGACCCCACAGCCTTCCTCTTCTTCCTCCTCCTCTTCTTCTTCCTCCTCCTCCTGCTCCTCCTCCTCCATTTCTGCAAACCCCCCTCCCTGCTAGCACTGATGATGTTCCCTAGTTGGGTTACGAAATGTCTGCCAGAAAATCACCCAGCTCAGAGAGCACCAAGGACCCCCCAGTTCTCCTCCTCCTCTCTTCCTCCTCTCCATTACTCCCCCTCCCTTCTAGCCTTGATGACGTTCCCTAGTTGGGTCGTGAAACGTCTGCAAGAAAGCCACCCAGCTCAGCGAGCACCCAGGACCCTACAGTCCTCCTCCTCCTCTTCCTCTCCTTCCTTCTCCTCCTCTCTGCAAACCCCCCTCCCTCTAGCACTGATGACGTTCCCTAGTTGGGTCGTGAAACGTCTGCAAGAAAGCCACCCAGCTCAGCGAGCCCCAAGGGTCCCCCATCTCATCCGTGAGCTACAAATATCCTCCTTTACTGCTGGGAAAGTGACGCTGGGAGGAGAGGCTGTCCTAGCAGGGGGGGGGGGCTGGCTGTCCTCCGAGCGGCCAGGCGAGAGGGCCGGGGGTACCTCTCCATGTCGGTGGTGTCCAGGGCCCGGATGCCGTCAGCCAGGGGCTTGTCCGGGTCAGCAGAGATCTGCTCGTACTGGTAGGCCTGCATCTTCTCAAAGAGCCGGGTCAGGTTCTGCTTACGGATCTTCAGCTGGGTCCACTGGAGGGGGAGAGCAGAGGGGCCTGGTTAGCCTGGGCCCTTGGGGACTCCCCTCCCTCTTCCTTCCCAACCGCCGAAGGGAGCCCGCCGGCACCGAGGGCATCAGGACCGCCTCCAAATCCTGGGGCTCTTGCCACTGGACCGGCCTGCCTGGCGATGGGGCAGCAGGGGAACACTGCCCTGGGTAGAGTGGGGAAGGGGTGTCCAAACCTGGCCCCTTTAAGACTTGTGGGCTTCAAATCCCAGAATTCCTCAGCCAGGTCTCCAACCTTGGCCGCTTTAAGACTTGTGGACTTCAAGGGGCAGCCCTTTTAAGAATGGGCCATTTATGACTGGGGTGGCCAAGCTTGGCCCTCAAGGCTCATGCAGGCTGAGCTGAGTTCCTCAACCGTGGCAATTTGGAGGTGTGCACGCTCCCAGGCTGGCTAGGGAATTCTGGGAGTTGAAGTCCATACACCGAGATTGAGAGACCCTGGGTAGACCCAGGGGGATTTATCCTCTTTTCTGCTCTGCTCGGCAATTCAGCACGGAAGACCTGCAGCTTAATGTGGAAGCCCAAAGAATTCCAGCTTATTCTATAAACGACAATTGGACAAACTATAGCTTAATAAGAGTGGATAGTCATCGGAAGCCCTGCAGTTTCAGGATGAGGCCCTATCCCAGGGGTCGGCCACCTTGGCTCTTTTATGACTCGTGGACTTCAACTCCCAGAATTCCTGAGCCAGCCATGCTGAGGGGAAAGGGAGAGGTTTCCAAGCTGAGCCAGGCTGGCTCAGGAATTCTGGGAGTTGAAGTCCACCAGTCATGAAGGGAGCCATAGTTCCCCCATGCTGGCTCAGGAATTCTGGGAGTTGAAGTCCACAGTCATGAGGGGGCCATAGTTCCCCCATGCTGGCTCAGGAATTCTGGGAGTTGAAGTCCACAGTCATGAGGGGGCCATAGTTCCCCCATGGTGGCTCAGGAATTCTGGGAGTTGAAGTCCACGAGTCATGAAGGGGTCCATAGTTCCCCCAGGCTGGCTGAGGAATTCTGGGAGTTGAAGTCCACCAGTCATGAGGGGGCCATAATTCCCCCATGCTGG